TTAACCCTTATGCCCTCCTCGGGCATTTTTGTACATTTTTCTCAACTTTTTTTTTTGATTTGCTGATCATTTTGGCTGTGTTACAGCTTGTGGCACAATTTTTTGCAAGAACTTTTCTTTTTAGTAAAATTTTTGAAATCCATTGTCTTTTACTCTTACATGTCTTTTATACTCTATTGATGCATTTTGCACCCTCTGGACACCCTCGTGGACAAAAATGTACACGCACAAAATCGGCAATAAAATCCTCATACATCAATATTTTTTTCTGCTTTTTTTTCATAAATCACTTAAACAACTTCTAACTTGCTCAAAATTACCAAACATTCAATCATTTTCAGGATTTTAACCCTTTAAATGCCAGTTTAATTATTTGAATTATTAATTATTTATGAAAAAACCCACCAAAAATGAGTTATATTCCATATAATAAATAGTAGGCGGATGAGGCTTTGGTGGTAATTAGAGACTTGGATATGTCAAAGATTAACAACAAAATTGATTTGATTGCATTAGTATTTTTTATGTAGTGCGAGATACACCCTCTGGACACCCTCGTGGCCAAAAATGCCCCATTGACTTCCATTAAAACCACATTTTTTAATCTCACTGCCATTACAGTATAAAACCATGCATTCTGTAATGTTAGCATTTCATTTTGAAGAAAAATAGTGATATTTGACATTTTTACTGTATTCCACCAAATTCAACCATTTTCCCATTGTAGGCCGATGCATGAAATTCTTGTATTTTTACCTGTTATATTATGGAGCTATGTGACTACCAGGGGGCCCCAAGAGTTTTGTGTGTGTGTGTGTGTGTGTGTGTGCATGCGCATGTGTGTGTGTGTGAGAGAATCTGTAAGCACACACTGATTATTTCAGGGGTGAAAAAGGGCATCTTTTGAGGGATGTGTTTCATGTGTCTTTGAAGAGGTGCTTGAGTAAAAACATGGCCTCCTGACAAAAAAACAAAAACAACTGTTAGTGTATATGCACCTGGCTGCTTTCACAGCCAAATATAAGCATGCAGCTTGGCTGAGGGGTCATTTCAGTAGTGAGCAGAGAAGGAGAAAGATCTGGAGCAAAGAGAAGGAGAAAAAAATGAAGAGGTATTTCAGTGGAGAGAGAGCAGCTGCAGAATTTGGTAAATCCCATGTGACTGGGTGATGTCCACCACTGCTGGCTGAAAGAGCAAATCGCAGTGTTTGCATCACCTGGTGGAGAAAAAGAGTTTCCACTGAGCTTTTTAACTTACTGAAACCATGATTTCTGTACAAATATAAATGTTGCATATTTTAACCTTGACAGCTTTGCTATGTTTATATCTTTCTTACTTTAGGTTGCATCCTGTCAGTTCTCTGTGATGAATTGAGCATGACCTCCTCCTTCCTTAGCCAACCCATTGATAAGAGCAGAGCTGGCCCTTCCACAATCCCAAAGGAGAAACACCTGAAATACAGTAGTTTTTGTTGTTTTAACACACACACCACTACAACATGAGACATAAACAGTGAGCCGTGTGTTTTATATGGGTTTCACAACCTGTGGGAACCTGAATTTGTCTTCACCAGATTTTATCAGCTTCTTTTGTGTTGACACCTCGCCGTCAGTAAAGAAGACAAAGAGCTAGGGAGGAGAGTTTACAGTCAGGAGTTAACATAAAATCACACCCAGACACATGCCAGGCATGTGTTAGGTGCTGCTGCAGGAAACACAACTGACTTTTATGGTGAATGTAAAGAATGACAAAAACCCTGTTAGTCAGTTAAAAAAAAACAAAACATAGGAAGTTCTGCACTGAATGGATATGTATTATTAAAGACGAAAGGTGATATTAAAGGCACACAGATTTTAAACACAACCTGTTTAAAATGTTAACCGTGTGTGGTGCAGTGTGTGGTTTTACTATGTCTTTGGTTGACTGGGAATCAGGGTGGCTTGTAAATATGTTTGAGGGGCTTCAGGATCTCTGTTCCTCCAAATTAGCCTCCATCATCTCAACCTTCTTCAGAGCCTCTTCGCATGGACGCTCTGGCTGTACTCCACACAATCTACGCCAATCACACAAATGTAAGAACATACGCAACGCAAGGCCATCACACATGTTAACAGAACACTTAAAATAAAGACAGGAAAGGTATTAGACTGAGTGACATGAGGGAGTCACATACGGGAAGAATGTGTTCAAGAGCTGGACCCCGAAACTGTAAGATGTTGAAATAGCAGCCCATCGCGTAACTTCAACAGGAGCAGCAGAGTATCCTGACGGAAGTGAGAGGAATAGATAGTGAAGGTTTACTCTGTGAAAGGGCCACTATGGATTGATTTTATGATTGAGTTAGCACTTGCTGAATACCCTGGCACTATGCCTAATGCGAGTCTGTTGACGCCCTGCCTGTTGTTTCATACAGTGAACCCATAAACTCGCCAGATCGATCCAAATCAAGAACACAAACTCTCCACCACGAGGTCGCACGTGAAAGACATCACGACTGGGGGAACTCAGGTACGACTCAGCATCACGACTGGATACATCGTCGAGTGAAACATATTACTTTATTCTACATGTACCTTTATATATAACCAGAGTAACAACTTCTGCACTCACGCAGTTATGCTGTGTCGTCCTGCCATAAACACCACGCAAGTGGTGCTAGGTGGGCATCTTGTTGTAATGAATCAAACAGTTCAAAGCATCTCTTGTCAAGGAGAGTGTGAGTGCAGTTTCACAAAACCACACTCATGAACTTCATTCAAGTTATATGTTTGTTCTTAGCACTGAGGAACAATCAACACAGCAGATATTATTTAACAGTCTACCTACCGTGCCTAGGGTCTGCTCTGTGTTGAGGTGCTGGAGAGGGTGTGGAGTTGGACTCTTACTTTAAGAGACTGGACGCAGGAGAGGACACTCGGGGGAAAAAGACAGACTGTAGGGGACCAGAGAGGCTGGAACAGAAATATTAGAGACTGGTCACTTCACTACTCCACTTCCTGTGAAAAAGTAGTACTAAACTTACCAGACAGTCTAACATTTAAGCATCTATGTAAATCATAAGCTACCAGATGAAACTAAAACAAAGGACAAGCTAAACAGTTTTGACTAGAGCAGCTGTCTAAGGCTGTACTCAATTTAATATCCTTTAGCTAAATGCTAATGGTAGCATGCTAACAGACCCATGTTTAGCAGGCAGAAATTGTTTTACTTTGACTTGCTGTTATGCTCAAACAAAAAGTCAGACGATAAGACAATGGATCATCTTCTGGATGAATGAGTAAATGTACCAATGCATGGATGACAGTCCATGTAAGTTGACAAGTACTTGCTGGTTTTCCCCCCTGTGTAAGATACTCTGACATAAGTATTTGGATTTCAAACCCTCAAGAAATACCCAGATGCTTTATAGCACAGGCACAACTGCCAGATGTCTGTTGCTGTATTTCAGCACTGGTGTTTAACTTGCACGCAGTGTGTGGACGGTGCACTTGAGTACTTGACACTGCCACAGACTACAGACCAAACTAGTTTTGTTGTTCACTAAATTTAAGTGGTTGGCTGGATTCCTACCCTGAGGTTGGTAGCGAGGTTGAGCACGCAGTGGCAGACAAAAACCTCCAAGGCTCCATCATCAGCCTGAAGCACTCAGTGACGTACTCCAGCCTGATGGAAGGCGCTCTCTCCTGTGAGCAGACTGCCCACACTCAGGGTGAATATATCTGGAACTCTGCTGCACTCTCCTCCAACAGGGAAGGCCTGCTGACGCAGAGCTCTAGCGCATGCATCATACTCTTCACTGAGCCTGGAGCAGCAGATGAACAGATGTCCAGCAACATTCACTCATGCTTTATTTTTTCTTAAGATCCATTACAGTGAGTAAGCATTTACTGTTTCCAGTCACCCTGTTTCTCCTTCACCATCAGCTACAATGCTGTGTCTGTCCAATCTTTAGCACTGAAATGACAGAGGGTGAGGAGGGAAGACCAAAAACAGCCTCTACTGGTTTGGGTCCTCCTTGTTTCTCGGTAGGTCAGGGTGGAGACCAACCGTAGCCACATGGTTCCCTGACTCCGCAACTCCAACTCGATGCTCTTCAGAGGAACTGACCGAGAAATGGAAGGAAAATACAAATGGACACAGAGAAACAGAAAATAGTATTTACAATGATTGATGATACAAATTTAAGGTTCCGCGAATTGCTGGATTCCTCCTCCTTCCCCATAGTGTGAATATGTATACTTCATCATTGTCAATGACTAACAAAGCATACCAGAGCTAAAACAACTCCTATACAGTATTTCACATTAAAGTTGCAAAAAACAAAGAGAGCAATTCTGCCGAGAAAATGGGTTGTTTTGTTCAGTGTTTGAATCAACTTACTGTATTTATAGAAATACATTAAGATGTGGGATTAACTCCCATTCAGATTTTTACTTACTACGTCTTGCAATCATGGGTAGAGCACGGGCCTTCAACAATACTTCAAGAAATTAAAAAAAAAAAAAAAATTAGTAAATGAAAATATAAACTAAATGACGGGTTTTTGAGCAAGTAGTTAAAAAAAATACTTCAAATACTCAAGTTGTTCAAATATCCAAAATAACTTAATATAACGTAATAAGTGAGACTTTTTACATACAAGTACATGCAGGTATGTGAACTTATCTTCAAATTAAATGCAATAATAACAGTGATTTGTAAATATGTGAATGAGTAACGATTTTTATAACGTGACAGCATTTGCATTGAGATTGTCTTCTACACCAATGAGCCAAAACACAATGACCACTCACAGATGAAGCAAATAACATTGATTATCTCATACCAAGGTGAATGCCCCCTGCTCGTAGTCAGTGTGTTGGATGTAGGAGAAATGATCAGGTATAAAGACCTGATAGAGCCAGACTACTGGGCTGGAGCATCTCTAAAAGGAGAAGACTCATGCTACCAGTCGGCAGTGTTGAGTGCGTACCGACAGTGATCAGAGGACCGGTTAGAACAAGTCCAATCTGCAACAGCTCCACCTTGCAACTTGCAAGACTTAGAGGATCAGCTGCTAACGTCTTGACCATGGGTTGTCAAAAATGTCATGGGTCATCAGTGTATCAGACTCAGCCTTGGTCACCAATAGTAACTTTAAAGCAGTGAGTAATACAGTATTAGTTTTTCATTTGCTACTGAAAAAGCACTTACCGGGTGTTGGAATATTTCTGCGCACCAGAGGTCCTTGAATCGGCTTTCTATTGCCTTTATTGAGAACAATAAAGGCAGTGTAGGAACTGCTGACCCCTGATTGGACACTGAGCTCCACCACTTTCTTCTTCACTCCTTCATCTTGCTGTCCTCTGTGTTCTCTCTCCTCCATCTCCAGGGAGCGAATCAGAGTCCGAGCACCCAACCTGTGGACTGTTAATCTGCAGATAGGACAGAGGAGTGAACACAGGTAGAGATATGCAGTATGTCTAGCTAATCATGTATTTGTTATGGTTAGGCTGTTTCCTTTCGTCATTCCCTGAGTTTTCCTGCCATTTTCCCCCCTATCGCGCAGCATCCAACCTGCTGCAGTATTTAAACCCTGAAACTTCCCTGCAGTCTTAGCCAGATCATTCAGTGTAATCACATGGTTCATCATCCCGGTCTCTCCAGTCGTCTGCCACGACCAACTCTGTAATTCCAGTCCTTGACGTTTCCTCCGCCATCTGCTTGCCCTGCTATGCAAGTCCTGAAACAAGCTCCAGCTCTTCCAACAATCCAGCCTCCCCCACCCCACAAGTCTTCAATAAAACTGCATTTAAATTTCTAACTGTCTTCTTGTCTGTATTCTGCATTTTGGGTCATAACATGTGTTATGTTCTGCTGTACATGGTAGCATGACAAAGTTTAATTGTCTTTATTTTTAGAGCAATAACTATATTATATACTATTTTTTTATCTAAATAGTTGAACTCAAAATTTGGAATAGCACTGTCTGACCAAATACTGTTTTACCCAGTGTCCTCTGCAGGTTTGAGACTGAATGGGAGCTGGTTCTTAGAGGGATGACCTGCCAGGCTGTACTTCACCGTCACACAGCCCTGTGCTGCCTCTGAACTCTGAGAAAGCATTACAGTGTTACAAACCATAGTAATTGCTATAAATACATGCTGCACAGAAATGCTCAGAATTAGTTAACAGAGTCTGCTGCTTCCTGATCTACAGCAGTGTGATGACTTCAAATCATTATATTAATACAGCTGAATGCTGAAACAAATCAGAGCAGAGAGGTAATTCACTATGAGATGGTGCTGCTCCTACCTCTCCGGTGCACTGGGCATAAACCAGTGACCTTTGACCCTGGAAAAGTGCTGTGATTGGTG